AGATCGAGAGCTAGAGATCGAGAGCTAGGATCGAGAGCTAGGATCGAGAGCTAGGATCGAGAGCTGGGGTCTGCGAGCTAGGATCGAGAGCTAGGGATCGAGAGCTAGGGATCGAGAACTAGGATCGAGAGCTAGGGATCGAAAGTTAAATCTGCACATAACGAGGACCCCGACAGCAAGCAAGTGTTCAAGACTGCTGTGCTGGCATGCCTCAAAATGGAACGCCTGTCGTGTATGCACATACAACGCACACGTGCGTGACCTGAAAGGCCCGCGGAAGGTCATCGAGTATGGCATACACAAGATTCATAGCGATCCACGCGATTTGTGGCGCAGACACTGGTCAGGCTGGCGATATGGGTGTTCAGCCCCCGTCTGGCGTTACAGTCATTCGCTGCCATTATGGGGGGGGGGAGGGGGCATTTGGTGGATGGGAGATCGTTTTTAATAATTGAACATGAGCAAAACTGCAAACTCAGCTCGTTTGGTGCATTAGTTTTTACGACGCCGAACAACGTTGGCTTTGTATCCATTATCACCCGGAATGTTCGACATCCTAAAAGCGCATTTCGGGTTCAATGGATATGAGCAGAAAGCGTTTGCACTAAGTGCTCCACTAGTGCCAGATGTTGCATTCCGTGCACTGAAGAGACAAGCGCGGTGCTGGCATTGATCGCCCAAGTGGTGCTGAAAGTTAAGGCCAATCTGTTGGCTTTTTGCATTGGGTGTTCACGAGTTCTGTCTTTCATCCGAAACACCGCCATTGCCTTTGCTCCATCGTGCTTTGCTTGGGGTCGCAGTTCCAGCTCACGTTAATGTTCAGGCTGACGCCCCAACATATTTGCCAACAATCGCTAGCGCATTGCTTGGAACGAAAAAAGTGTAATTCTGCGCACACATACGGCGAAAGTTGCGCAACGGACAAACGGGCAGGGCCCCCGTGTAAAAGCCGGTCTCTGCCACATCGTCTAACCGTCTTATCATCAGTACGAGTTGCCGCAAAAACACAACCTGGCGTGATTACTTTGCTTTCTCTCTGCCAGCGCTGCTCTCAATGGGCCGCCAACTCGTCTCCTTTGCGACAGACAGCCCAAAGCTCGGAGCTGATATTGGCGTGGCGGAAGAGGACTCGTAGGAGATGTCAGCCCCACAAAAAGCTCTCCGAATGCTTCAGAAAGATTTCCAGGGAACTGCTATAACTTATGAACTCGGACGCACGTGATTCAAATACGAGCGAAGCATATAAATGTTTGGAATACTTCCTTTAAAACTGGATCATTACAGAATGATTACTTTGTCAGGTGAATCTGGCAAAAATTGTCCCGCATGTATAAATAATGATAGCTTTTCGCAACAAAACATGAGCGAAAATAGCGAATCGTCTTCGTCTTCACTGGTTTAACAGTGTTAGTCTGCCTACGACTCAAAGCCGTCCTGACTTATCCGCTGCTGTTCTGACACGTCTTTTATTTCCTTTGCTTCCGGGTGTACATCCCTGCCTACGTTTCCCAGCGTTGTTCTGCGTCGATTGTTGTTTTCTGTGCGTCTGGTGACTGGCTGCCTGCAATTATCTGCATTTTCTGCGCTTCGCCGGCGCTCGGCTGGCGTTTCCAAAGCGTTTCCCGGAGCACCTGTTTGTGGAGCGGTTCATGCGTGACTGGCAGCGCCGGCGGCACTGCCGCACGAGAATGCTGTGCAAACAGCTCGCTCGACCGACAGACAAAGGGCCCTAATTCGAATAATCAACAAAGGACTGCATAAGCTTCCGCGCGCGCAGCGTCAGATGGCTTGTAGGCCGTGGGAATGCTCACAGTCGGGCTAAAACTGACGCACTCGGAGGGCAGCTGACGCTGGTCGGCTGGTGGTATGGTCAGCGGCACAAGGCGAGGGCAAAATCAATGATGTTGATGTTACCGCGGCGGGAATGGGCGCCTCTAAAAACGTGGTGTAAATAAATGGGAAACAAGAGGCAGGTACTCCCGATTGGCTGCGGGTCATTTTTTGGCTGTCGTTCACTCTTTGTGGTGCGATATTCAAGTAAAGCTTTGCTTGAACATCGATCCTATGGAAGACAAGTGTGTACATTGCAGCACAAGGCCAAAACGCTGTGTCCCCGTCAGCTCTGAACGATGCAGTGCAAAAGTGTTGACATTCAGTTTTTTCATGACCTGATGATGGACATTTGATTTGATGACATGGGTTTGATTGGTGACCTTGTTGAGATCACATATTCGCCTCACTCAAGTAATAAACGGAACCGGAGTGTCTTGGTACGGTTCGATAAATCTCTTAATAGCAGGAGCATTAGTAGTAGTAATGACCGGGAGAATTGTGCTCCCCTATCTAAGTTGTTGAACGTGGCGTCAGCTGTTCTTTATGTAAGGCGTGGGTACGTGCGTGGACTAATCGTTGATTATGTAATATTCGAGATAGACACGTAACCTAAATAAATCATGAACGTGAAGTGTTGATTGCTAGAGATTTTCATGTGCCCAGCTGGGATTTCCAGCAGAAAAAGTTAGTTGTGCTAAGTTGCAAAATTCTGCGTATGCACCTACATTACAGCCATGCACTGCTCGGAAACTGTGTGCTTCAGGGCGGGGGGAAACCTGCATTATGTGAAACCAAGATTACACCATGATGTCTCCAGCCATAGATGAGAGATGAGCAAGTCTATGTGGAAGGCAAGGGTTCAGAACTGCTTATTTAAAAAAAATATTTAAGTCGGGTGTCATTTATCTGTTGTGTTCCCATTGGCTCTTGTAGAAATGTACTGTTGCTAGTCTAAGTTGCTAAGTTTGGAGCAAATGCGTAGCAGTCACGGCATAGCGGCGTGCAATAATCACCCGGTGTTCGACCAGCAACGGCGATGCTAGGGTAGGTCATCCTGCCAAGACCACTGATACCATCGAATGCTCATACAAAGGCCAGCAATCTGGTGGGGCGTCTGATTGTTCACATTGGTGCCGTGATCAATTCTACACGCGCCCCGGGTGGCCGGTTATGAACGCGACGCACTCGAGTGGGAGGGGCTGGGGAGCAATTTGACCCTGTGATACCTCAAAAGCTAAGTGAGACAGAAATACTAGCTTGATTGGGCACGCAGGCTCATAAGTGAACTTGCACCAATGTTGAGGTCACTAGGCCGTGAAGTTCTGGCAAGGTAAGGTCAAACGAGGCGAAACACCGGATTTATATCTAAGTGTACTCAGACCCCCCTCATGCAACCACCTGTACCTAAATATCTCTTCTAAGTAAAAAGTCACAGGTGATTATTATGTCAGTTTCAGTGACCTTATTTGGCCATTCAAAAGGCCCAAGCAAATACCAAAAGCCCGCAAGATTGGTTTTTATCTTTGAGTCAGATTAGCATGAAAGACTGCGATTGGTGGTGTTTCCAAAACCCAAAGGTTTTCTCGGGTCATTTCAGGCCAGTGACCTCCCCTGACCTTCATAACAATTAAATAGGATGTCTGATGGATATCGTAAGTCTGATATTCCCGTGATCATGATATTCAAAGTAAGCGTCGAAAACTACCCTTTTTGTCCAGCTCCACAGTACAAGAGTGATTTAGTTGTTTTTTTTGGGGGGGAGGGGGGGGCGGAGGGTTGCCTTAGCTAACAGTCATGGACGGACTCTGTCCTATCATATTTCAAAGAGCTTTTAAGGTGCTTTTATGCCAATCGATTTTTTGATTGGTTATAGCCTTATAAGGTTTGGCGTGGACGATTCTGGAAAACACAATCGAAGGTCAAATTTTCCCCACCTGAGCGTGGGTTAATGCCTGCTTCACACTGAATCATTTGCATTTAGGGTAGAGGCCTTCACAGATCAAAATTCCTTTATTCAAACCATAGCTCTTCCCATGGGACTGTATCCACAACACCGTCTATGTTTTCCTTATCAGTTTGATCCACCCGTTACCCACTCGTATGCGTGTTTCTTACGTGCTAAATTGTGCAAGAGTTTCTGGAAAGTGTATAACCCAACCTGCTCTTTTGCTTTTATCATTGCAAAAGTAGTGTGCATAGAGCTAGTCATTACTAAAGAAACTGTAGCCTTTAACTCTGTATGGTATTGTGAGAAATCAGCCCGACATTTCTTAAACGCATTGCCATTAGCCGTGCCCCTACACTTAGCTTTCACCAAATCTGTATCCAACCCAATAAGCTATTCATTCCCTAAGGGTACTCATAGTTCTGCCCAAACTGAGATGCTATCCCAAAAGTGATAACTCCCAGGGCTTCTTAACTTTCTTGCAAAACGTTTAGGACAAATGGAATTACGGAGACTTGTGCCGACTTTGACAACCAAAGTGAAGTAATACGAGTTATGCTAAGCATCTACGTGCGCCTGGGTGCATCTGGCAAACAATGCTATTTCCAAACTAAGGTGAGTTGTAGTACGTTAAGCTGCAGAGAGGCAGGTGATTGTGGGGGCTCTAGTCTGGCGTTGATGTGAGACAGGGGATGTGGTGGGCTTCAGTCTGGCGGTGATGCGGGACAGGTGATGTGGTAGGCTCTAGTCTGGCGTGATGTGAGGCAGGTGATGTGGTGGGGCTTTAGTCTGGCGTGATGTGAGACAGGTGATGTGTGGGCTTCAGTTCTGGCGTGATGTGAGACAAGTGATTGTGGTGGGCTTCAGTCTGGCGTGATGTGAGACAGGTGATGTGGTGGGCTTTAGTCTGGCGTGATGTGAGACAGGTGATGTGGTGGGCTTTAGTCTGGCGTGATGTGAGACAGGTGGTGTGGTGGGCTTTAGTCTGGCGTGATGTGAGGACAGGTGATGTGGTGGGCTTCAGTCTGGCGTGATGTGAGACAGGTGATGTGGTGGGCTTTAGTCTGGCGTGATGTGAGACAGGTGATGTGGTGGGCTTTAGTCTGGCGTGATGTGAGACAGGTGATGTGGTGGGCTTTAGTCTGGCGTGATGTAAGACACCTACCGGTGTCAGTTGCTGGCTGAACTTCTCAAGCGCGTGTGAGCAGGAAAAGGCACCTACATGTTACAGGCAAGTCGCGGCTACACCAGTGACAGCCTCCACATGAGTTTCTTCGCAGCTGGCGAACTGGGCTAAAGGCAGGCGGATTGTCGTGATGCGCCCTGGAACAATTAGTACGCATGGGCGTGTGGCAGAGGAGTCTAGCTGGCTGAAACCGTCAACCATCTTTGCCTCTGCCTGAATGTTCAGCAGTATTTTTGTTTTGTTATTTGTGCCGTTCGAGAAAAGGACGACTGCGTTGCGATGGCTGCTGCTGGTGGCCTTTGAATATAAGCTACCATTGCTCTGACCGCGGCTGTCGTTATGGTTTGACAAGGTCAATCAGCGCCGAAATCTCTCATGACGCTTCGGGAGGGGGGGGGGGGAGGCGGATAAACATTGTTAAAATTCTGACCATGGGCAAGCCATGATGGTAAACCTGTTGAGTCATTGGGCATCCCTAGCTCGAGTCCTGGGAAGGAATGCACAAAGCTGGCTTAATTTTATCTACGCTAAGGCTGCGGCTATACGATAGTCAAGGACGGCCATCTGGTGGGCGACAACATAGCTAAAACAATTAATTTCTCACCGGAGAGCGATGGCACGGTGGAGCACAGGAACCTAGGAAAGCTTGGGACAATGTCATTAGCCATTGTTCAAGGAGTAAGGTAGAGGGCTATGCGATTTATTCCAGAGGTTGAACCTGTCTATAATTGCATGAGGGTTTCATCCCAGTTCCCTCCCAGCCGCCCACTTCCTGTGCCATGGTAAAACTTTAAGTAAGGCTAGGAGCGCGGTGAAGATGCATGCAAAAATTTAAGCGGAAGGAAAGGCGCATCTAATTTCAACAAAGAAAAACATTAGATATTGACTAACGTCGTAACGCTAACGCTCGCACTCAGCGCCTCAAGCTCAGTCAGGCAATTTCAACGCAAAATTTACTCTCTACATGAACATCGCCTTTGACAGTGCGCTGTGCACTGTAACCTACATTTAGGCTTGCATACACTCTGTCTTTGTCTTTGTCTTTCCAGTCTGTCTTTGTCTTTGTCTGTCTGTCTGTCTCTGTCTGCCTTGTCCGTCTTTCTGTCTTTCCAGTCACAGTCTCAAGCGTCGCCCCTGCTTTGGAAATATGTGCGGCTTTGACGAATTACCCAGATCGCTAACTTCTACCTGGCTAGCTGAGCTGGCTCTGGTATAGACTAGAGAGGGTAGACGGTTGGATGCCCGACACGGCCGGTTACCATGACGTCCTGCCCCTGACCTGCGGCTGCTCGCCGCCAAACTGGCGCCATGTCAACACGGCAGGTGGCATGACGTCCCTGCCGCTGACCTGCGGCTGCCGCCCTCCTACCCCTGACCCGCCGCTGCCCCGCCGCCAGACTGCGGCTCTCCCCCCCTACGGTGCGCGCCGACTTCGACGAGTGGAGCTGGGCGGCGGCGGCGGCGGCGGGGCACTCGACCGCTCCCACGCCTCGCCGCCCGACCACTCTTCGACCGCTTCGACGCTCGTCAGTACGACACGGGCCCGAGTACGACCCCGACTTCGCGCCGTACACGGAGCCGCCGCCCGCGGCCGGCGGGGGCGTCGCGCCGTGCCGGCGGACGAGCGCTACACGACCCGTTCGGGATCTTCTCGAGGAGTACCGCCGGCGCGTGAGCCAGCAGCTGGGCGAGGTGCAGTTTCAACCGGAGGCCAGGACGCCATCATCGGTCGCTGGCCGTGGATCGTAAGTTGCACCGACTGTCGGACTTCTGATGCGTGCCACGTCGAATAGTGGCTGTGCACAGATCGTCACAGGCCGGCAAGCACGTCAGAGATTCTCCTGACGCTCTGCTCTGTTCGTTGGGTTTATTTATCCTTAATCCCCATGGTCCTTTCAGTATTATTCGGTTAGTACAAATATCACTTATAAATACTGTAGTTTACAATATGTTTGCAATAGCTTCTGGGATAACGGTGGTGCGACGTAACCATACGGCTTCAAGCATCGCTGACACCCCATTAGTCTGATCTTTTTCGAATTCTCCGATTAATTTACGTTCACACACAATAGCTACACGGTTGGTGGCATTGCAAGCTCTTTAAGCTGGTTTTAAAGCTGTTTTTTGTTATCCACCACGTTAACATCACATTCTCAGCCTAATTTTGCCGGTCAAAATTTAAATGCCACCCCCGGCATCACTCACGCTCTGATGCTAACAGCTGTGCCACCTCAAGCCTAAGACCCCCGTTTGTGGTTGCCAACAGAAATAATGAGCGCGATCATCGCTGTCTCTGGTAAGATTACAATAGACGCTCGGCGTGTCGACCGGCCTGCGACGTTTTTGGACGGCTGGTGGAGCCGTGCAACACAAACAATCGAAGAAGTTTCAGAGAATTAAATTGCTTTTGGACATCACGTTTTTTGCTCACTTGCCGCATGTCGAGCGCAGCAGTCGTCTTGCAACCAGACCGCGCTGTACCCGGACAAATGACGGTAGCCTCACGAACAAACTTGTCAACGTTCTCAACCGAAGCAACGATTCCAAACCCAGCCATTTCACGGCGCTTTTCTCCTGCCCCGACGTCCGCTGATTTGAAAACGCTGCCCGCCAAATACATCTCGAACCACAAAGCCGTTAGGCCGACCGTGATTCGGCGGCTGGCCACGAAGGAGACGCCAGTCCGGCGCGCAGCTGCGGCGTAGCTCTCATCTTCCAGCCGCACCGCTCTCACACGTCCCCCCCCCCCCCCCCGCCCGACAGGCGCTGATCGGCGAGCAGCGGCCGAGCCGCATCAGCTGGTTCTGCGGCGGCGCTCTGTTGAACGAGCGGTTCGTTGCTACGGCCGCCCACTGCCTCGGCCAGTTCCAGAAGTGAGTGCAGCAGCTTTGTATGCGTGAGGCCCCGCCGTCGGCCGCGCGTGCGAAGCCGGATGATGACACTACGCCGGCCGGCCCTGTTGTTCTTGATTGCTGATTGTTTCCTGGTGCTTGGGAACGGCATTGATATGCTGGCGCCGCGCCTTTCTCGCACCGGCCCGCAGCCCAAATCGAAGGAAAAGGCGCACAATGCCACGCGATGCGTTCAGAAGCCTTCTCTGACGAAGACTTACTGGTGAAAGATTCCTGCTCCGTCTTGCGGTGTCGGCGTGAGGGCAGCATTTTTATGAGAAGCTGTTACGCCTGATCAGTACTAATGTTGTTTAAGATATAGCAACTTTCTTTAAAAAAACGTGGGATTTTGTGAACCAGTTGAACATGCTGCAGATCATGGACAAACGTAACTTCATGGAAAAGCGTGTTATGTGATAATTCTGTAATGTGGAACCACGAGAGTGGTGTGGCCAAGGACTTTTGGGACCATTCCCCAACCCACTCCGCCTGGAAGTAATGGGGCCTCCTGGACCGAAGACCTCAGTGCCTATTTGCAGCTTAACCAAGCATTAGCCTGGAGCAGCGTGGTCAAATTCACGCCTCCCATCGAATGTTCGAGATATCTCAGAAAGGCGCCGAGAACCGGCGCGAAATTTGTAGCAGCTGTTAATGGACACACTATATGCTTTAGGCCAAAATAACAACTGTAGGGCCGCGGCAGATCGAGCGCGAGTGACGTCAGAGTAACGTCATGTTTGCTGTCTTTTGGCAAAAGTGCATTGCTGTACGCATATTGGTATATGACTGAAACGGAAAAATATTTCCAACGTCCGTGGACGGGTTTTAAGAGCCAATTAGTTCCCAAGCGGCACGCCCGGTTGTGTTGTTTCGATGTTACACATTGAAATGTTGGCATGCCAAAGTATAAAGCTATTTGTAAAATCCACGCTAAAAATGTTTGACCTTAGACTAAAAATTATCACATAATGGAGGAAGGTAGCCTGAATACGAGTATGAGAACTGCCTGTACTACGTTTCAAGTAGCTACCTGTGGCAATGACTGATTAGTGGCTTGAAATGCATCACAGAGCACATTGGCCGAGCCCAGATGTGCACGGGCCCACAGCAGCGACGGGGCTCAGGTCTGCCGCGTTGACGCTCTGACGGGGCAGCGGAGAGGCGTAGGTCTGTTTTGAGGTATCTGTTTGACCGCACGCCACGTCGCTGCTGAGTACTATTTAAACTTTTGAATTCGGCCCGGCCGTTCTTGAAGTGAGCAGAGAGAGGGGTGGGGGAAGGGGGTAAATTTGTCCTACCTTTGTCAGTAGTGTGCCGTTGAATATACCGGTCAACGCCTGGTTTTAAGACGTCCGCGGGGTTTCTAAAACATGCAAAATGGTTCTCCAAGACATCAAAATGGGAACCAGAGCCCAAAAAGCTCACCGAATTCTAAGTCAAATCGCCTTCAGTGACGAAGTGGGGCCCTGGGTCCGCGATGTGGACCCCCGGGTTCCCGGTGGTAACTGAAACGTTACTGTGCCTCCATGGACGGCCCTCATTTGACAGTGACCAGACAGTGACGAGGAGAGAGGTGGAGGTTCGACGGAAGCGATACGGCAGAGATGCGGGATGCTGACGGGAGCGGGGACAGAATTACGCACATACGGCGCTCAGCTCCGGCAGAAACACGTAATTGGTCACGTAAGCCAAGGAGATAAGGGGATCATGACGTGGGCCGCCGGCGAGATAGGAAGGAAAAGGACGCATGCGCACGACGCCTGAGTCGCAAAGCTAACAGGCTCGAACCTGTCACACTGCCGCAGGCTTGTCTGCTCGAGTGGCGTCACCACCCTCCAGCAGCCCTCTCGCTCCGCCCTGTCGCCTCCGAGCCCATCTCCGAGTCGCTTTGCGTATTCAATGCATATCAAAACCGCCCAGGCGTGCGTGCCGAGGCCTGGGCTCTGCCGGCGGGACGGCCGAGGCGGCTAAGCCGGTGTGATCGCGTACGGTCGCGTCCGCGCGTCTCCATCCCTGCGGCCATGCATTCTAATGAGGTGTGTATTAAATTGGGGACCTGCAGGCCCTGCCCGTCGTCAGAAGGGCACCTGACCTTGTTTCGGGCGTGTCGAGCATGAAAGCGCGGCTCGTACGTGCCAAAGCGCACAACAAGGAACTTCTCTCTGCCCTTGCGCAGTGCACAGTGATCTGGCTATCTTCGTTTGTGCCATCATAGCATAGGCACATTCGCTGGCCTAAAGACGAACACACAGAACACACAGATTGTTACGGGCCGGGGATGACCTGTTGACACAGTAGGAGGTGACGTATGGCCGGTCACCTGACCCCGGAGACCATCCCGAGACCCTGCCTTTGCACACGCAGGAGCCGAGCCCAGCAGCGACTGGCGATCACGGCCGGCGCGTACCCTCCCGCCAGGAACCGCCTGCTGGTGCGCGTTGGCGACTTTGACCTGCACTACGACACGGACGCGGCGCACCAGGATCTGCTGGTGGATCGCATCTACCTGCATCCGGCGTACGAGCACTACCGCAAGCACAACGACCTGGCGCTGCTGCGCCTGAGCACTGCGGCGCGACTGGGGCCGCTCGTGAGGCCCGTGTGCCTGCCGCCAGCCGGGGTCAACCTCACCGGCCAGTGGACGTCCCTGGCCGGCTGGGGCCACACCGACTTCGGTGAGTGGCCGACACTGCGGTGCGGAGGCCGCGTCACATGATCACAGCCAGACTGTGCTCGGTTGATCGGAACTGGCGCCACAAGTCCTGTACGGTGAGATGGAGGTCCCAGTTTTCAGCTCGTCGCCGTGTTTTGCCGCTCCGTGTTTTCCTGAAGAATGTTTGGCTTTTCCCAAATCAAGTTCATTTCAATGTTTGCTCGGGATTTATTTGCTTTCGCTTGCATGCATTTGGTCGCAGTGCATCTACGGCACGGCACAGGTTTCAAAACATCCGCACAATGGACTTTGACTCTCGAAGTAAACTAGGCCAGACTTCAGCTGATTGCACCCGAACGACCCAATCCGAATTATATTACCGCGACGTGCCCTGCGCCTTAACCACTCGTAATTCATTTTATGGCTGGCCTTAGCCATAAATACAGGAACCGACAGCCCGCTCCAAGCTAAACGGTTTCAGCTCTGATCGGCTTTACGATTCACCCAGACTGCGGCTCACCAGATAACTCGTTCATTTTCATCGTCTATCTCGAGGCTCATATGCATGATGAATGGCACGGAAAGCCCGATACTCAATGAGCCGTGCTTCCCATGCGGCACAGCGCCAGCGGCGAGCGGCGTGAGACATGTTGCCGCTAAATAAGCGAAAACGTTGAATGCGTCGTTAGATAACCCAGCTATCATCTATTATCCTGATATCATCTCGTCTTATGCAACAACTATTACCTCGTACAGCACGCTGCTGTCCTATCACTTCATCCATGTTGGTTGCACCTGACGCGAAAACTTCCACAATCTCGAACACAGACAATGGTGTTTTGACAACGCTGGCAGCACAGGACTACTGTTTTGCAGGCGGCGAGTCGTCGGCCGTTCTGCAGGAAGTGCGTCTGCCGCTGGTCGATACGGCTACTTGCGAAGCTCACTACAGGACGCTGGGCAACAACTTCCAGCAGGACTTCGCCCCAGGGTTCGGCGACACCAAGATCTGCGCCCACGACACAACGGGCCACGGCAGGGACTCTTGCCAGGTTTGGAGCGGGGTGGGAATCTTGCTGGGCTCAGCAGTGGCTTCGTAATCGCGGTACCTGCTGGACGGCCGACTGCTGGTCGCATTGCTTGGACTGTGCCATTTCTCATGCACCCACAAACAGCTGTCGCCGCCTTACTAAGTGCTAAATTTTGTCCGTGTGAAGTGACTTTGAAAAAAGAAAACCATCAACTTTCCAGAAATTGTACTTCATGCATTTATGTGCATACATTTTGTCTTCGGAGCTGCCAGACGCCGCCATGGATCGGCAAAGATCGAGTA